AAAGTGTATATAAGTACACTCTTTTCAATGTATTTAGCATGTATAAGATGAGGCCGGAGGTCACTGACTTGTATCTCGTTTTCTATGCACTTTTGTTTTCAAAGTTTATTATGAAAATATTGGAAAATGTTAAGTCATTGCTTCATAACTTTCGCATCGGGTGTGGGAATTTCATATCTTTTCTGCCTGGACTCAGTACCAGACGATTCTTGAGTCTAATTTTATTCATTTTTCGTTGTCCTTCCAATGATGTGCACGGTGGCACCCATTTCAATGAGAAATGATCATTTTGCCCTTGGTTCATTTCTTTTATGGTTAGGCATTCTTGCTTCATTTGCTTGGCTCATTTGAGTTCCGTGGCTTCATGGAGAGTCACTTTGGGCCTTAGGGATGACGTACATCTCTTGAGGTCATTTGGCTTCTTTCGCTTCCGCATTTCAAATCCATTATCGGGTCATCTTTTGGTTCATCACAAGACGCACTGGCTTAAAAAAAAAAACAGGGTCGTCACACAATTCCTCAAGCAAAGAGGTCTAATTTCAAAAATGGCAAAACAGTTCATAGCATTCCCCAATCTGGCAACACAAGATTCACTCCTCTGGAATCCCATGCAAAAAAAAAGTCAAAATGGAAAACTCGAAAAAGGTGTTCTAGATAAAGCAGAGAGAAAGATATGATCTTCAAAGTCTATGATCAAACTCCCAAGGTAAAGGGTCCAAAAACTGAAAATGGCAAAGAGGCTCTGAGGATTCCTCAAACTGCCTACATGAGATTCACCCCATTGGATTCCCATGCAAACAAGGTCAAAATTAAAAACTGGAAAAAAGGTGTTCTAGATCAAGAAGAGAGGAAGATATAATATTTAAGGCCAAAGATCAAACTCCTAAGGCAAGGGGTTCGAAATCTAAAAATGGAAAATTAGGTACTGTTTGGCTGCAAGGTGGTTAAGTGAGATTTCAACCAAAATCCCTAACTTTTCCACTAACCCTATTTGTTGGCCTACCACACAGACACCAACACTACCTCTCTCACACACACACATCCACACCCTCCACTTGTCACAATCCTAGGGTTCCTCATAAGGCTTAATTTCAAGACTACACCTGTCACTAATCTAAGCCAACAAGTGTGCCAACCAAAAGTCCAAATGTGGGTGAATCTTTACCCTTCACTTGTCACCATCCCAAGCACCCAAACAAGGCTTAATCACAGTCCTACACTTATCAACTTGTCAACATCCCAAACCAACAAGTGGTCCAACCAAAGGCCAACAAGTGGGTGAATTAACACCTAACACTTGTCACCGAAGTGTGCTTCCAAGTCACACCACAAAGAGGATGACAAGTGGCCCTAAGGAAAAGTGACACTTGTCACTAATTCCTAGAAATTGCAAAAAGGTCCCTCCTCTAAATATCCCAAGAAATATTTGCAATAAAGTCCCTAAGACAAAATAAAATTACATAAAACACCTCGAAAAACAAAAATGTTTCCGAAGAAACTATGCATCCATACCCCTGGAAAAAAAGAAATATACGAGCATGCTTTTCATATAAAATAAAGATATACGCGGCCAGGAAAAGATGAAATAACGTAATACACGTGGTGTCGGAAATCGTTTTCGAGCACCGAAACCTATTTCGGGTCAGACAAAACTCTTAGGTCACAAGAAAAATATTAAATCAAATGATTAAATAATTAATAATCATAAAAAAAAAAAAAAAACATGACGAAAAATTGGAAAAGGAAGAAAAGACAGGGTCATTAAAAGAAACAAAATACTTTTCAATCATTCTTAATTATACTCCAGATGCAAGTCAAGAAGAGCAAATGTCGTTTATATTAAGATGTGTGAATGTTTCAGCAAGTCTAATAAATGTAGAAGAGTTCTTTTCAGGACTTTTAAAGGTGGATGATACATCAGGCTGGGCAAGGGCTTTTTGATAAACTTGTAGACGCTTTGAAAAATCTTGAACTTGATATTGGTGATGTAAGAGGACAAGGGTATGATAACGGTTCTAATATGAAAGGGAAACATAAAGTTGTACAAAAAAGATTGCTAGAGATAAATCCTAAAGCATTTTATACATTGTGTAGTTGTCATAGTCTTAACCTTGCACTTTGTGATATGGCAAACTCTTGTTCCAAAGCTTCATTTATTTAATTTTTTTTTTTTGGAGTAGTGCAACAAATGTATTCACTGTTTTCATCTTCTGTAAAGCGGTGAAAAGTTCTCACAGATAATTTTAAAGGTTTTACACTTAAGCCACCATCACAAACACGTTGGCTGGGAAGGTCAATTAGAAAGTGTTAGAGCAATAAGATTCCAAGTTCCAGATATAAGAAATGTCTTAATTTACTTAGCAAATACTAGTGAAGATCCTAAGACAAAGAGTGATGCTGAGTGCTTAGCAACATATGAAATTGAGAATTTTGAGTTCTTGTTTGGTATGGTTATTTGGTTCAATATATTGAATAATTTTAACAAAGTAAGCAAAATCATGTAAACAGAGGACATGCAGATTGATGTTGGTATAGATCTCTTAAGAGGACTCATTTTTTTTTTTTAGAAACTTATAAAGAAAGTGGATTTGAATCTACTATGTCGAGGCTAAAGAGATTGCAACTAATATGGAAGTTGAACCTATATTCCGCGAAAGACATGTCATTCGTAGAATGAAACAATTTGACGAGAGTGTCAATAAAAAGTGTACACAATTGTTCGAAGAATCATTTAGAGTGAATTATTTCATATACATAGTTGATCAAGCTCTTTCTTCACTTAAGAGTAGATTTGAACAATTTCAACAATATGATGAGTCTTTTGGATTTTTGTTTACTTTGGAGTGGTTGAAGTTTGCTGATAATGATACTTCAAAGGTTCATGTCATAACCTTAAAGATCTCCTAAAACATGACATGGTTTCTGATATTAATGGGACATACTTATTTTTAGAGCTACAAGTCCTAAGAGAGGCTTAACCAAGAGGAACAATAAAGACAATTGAAGTATTAGATTTTATAAAAAGACTTGTTTATTATTGTCCAAATGCTTGGATTGCATATAGAATATTATTGACTATCCCAATTACAGTTACATATGTTGAGAGAAGCTTTTTGAAGTTGAAGTTGATCAAATCTTACCTACGGTCGATAATGTCACAAGAGAGATTGAATGGATTGGCTATGATATCTATTTATATTGATATAGCTGTTTGTGATTGACTCCATTTATCAGGTACATTCTAGTGACTTCAGTGAGAAAGAGCTGCCCGAATTTTTCAGGACCACCTTTTTCCTCTCTCCTTACTTCATTTCTTATCCCATGTACACTTGCATGTCCACTGTGCACCTATTATTATCCCCTTTGATGTCTAATGAACTTTTACCCAGTGCCATCTTTTCAGGACTACAGTTAATCCCAAGTTTGGGGGGGTTATACCACCCACTTTAGATACTTGTGTCCCGGCCATTCTTTGTTTAGCTGATGACGAAAAGAGGGTTACTGATGGACCTCGATCTCGATCTTGATGGTTCCTGGCCATTAGATTAAATCTTCGTCTCCTTCTATCCTACGTCGCCGTTCCTTCTCACGTCCTCAGTATCCTTTTCTTGCGAAGCCGGCTTGACTTTGGTTTTTCTTAGTTGTGGCCGGATTCTTCTCGTTTTTGCCATGTTATGTGTTTTCGATGCGATTGCGATTTAGGGAATTTCAGAAAATGTCCAATTACGATTTAGGGCAAGTTTGCGATTAAAATTGTTTGATTGTAGAATAGCGATTGTAATTTTGGACAAGTTCGTTCTTCGTCTTAGGCAATGTTCGACGCTTCATCGGCGTTGACGCGGAGGAATTCGGAGTATCGGAATCGTCCACTTGAGCTCCGACGCCTTCCGGAAGCTTCTGGACAGTGTTAGTTGTCTCTCTTTCATCGCAAGTTGAATCAACAGAGACTATATCAACATTAAGATCCAACATCTCTCTATAATTAATTTTTGAGATTGTCTCATGATCACATCACTTTTTTTTTCTTTTCTTTTCAATATACATAAATATATAGAAATATATGAACTAAATTATATATAGAGAGAAATAGCTCAGGATTAACTCTCTATTCTCCTCCAATATATGCGATCCTCAAGTTGCAGAAGACATTGTTGGTTCTTCAAATTGGGATTTCAGAACAAATAGAACTTAAATGGTTGATTTTTTTTTTTTTTTTTAAAGCTTTGTTTGTTAAATAAAAACTTTCCTTAATGAGATTTTTTATTTTATTTTAAGTAATGAAATAGTCACATAAGATTTAAATATATAAGCATACAAACCAGTGCAAGATTCAATGTTGTGAAATGTAGATACAACAATAAATTTATAATATTTTTTTCTAAGTTCATAAAACTATTTTTAGACAACCAAAAAGTTTTTCGAGTTTTTATTCTTTACAAATTGTTTTGTAATTTAGATTTATCACTAATATTAAATTTATCACTAATATTGAAATTTATCAAAAAACCATATTGAATCATACAATGACGAGGAACTCAAAAAACAAGGGTGTCGGCTCCCGCGATACTTCAGAAAACAAGGATGAATGCTATTGAAAAAAAACTTTGCATTGGGAATGCTATTGAAAAAAAATGGTAGTTGGGAATGATAGTTGAAAAATAATGTTAATTGGGTCAAAAAATAACATTTTGGATGAAATACACCTTTAAAGCAGAATTGATAAAATATAACATTTTGACAGAGTAACTTCTCTCAAAATATAAATTTGACATACAAAAATATTTTGCATCACAGATGGTCTTTTAATTTTGTATGCACCTCAAATCTTGAGAATCTCAGCGGGCCCTACGAGTACTCATATACATAATAATTCAATAAATCTGCTGTAATATTCATATATTGATTGTACCATACCACATAGGGTATCCCTCCACAATTTTTAAAAAGTAAGATTAAAATGAATCCGACGGTGTTGATTAACTTGATTGTTCTCGATGATCTGAAAAAAAAGGCCGCCAAAGAATCAGCACTAGGGTTTTGATTCTCAGCTCACTCGAAGGTCAGGGCCTGGCCTTCGTACTTTTTCGCAAAGCTTGGTTTTTAAAGAGAGAAAGAGAAAGGGCGGTTGAAATCAAAGAGAGAGACAGACGCACAGTTGAATTCGAACCAACCTTACCAAACAAACATCTTCTTCTGCTTCTTCTCTCTCTAATTCCATTCCATTGATATGAACGACCATCCATCTTCATCTCACAAGAAGACGTCCCTCGGTGTTCGCCACCTCACAGTGCTCGGCGAGTTCAAACCCTTCGGCCTAGTCGCTGAAGCTCTCGACGGCAAGCCCGAAAATGTCTCCCACAGCTACCATTACTTCCTCTTCGATCCCCAAATCGCCGGACAAAGAGACCAATCCGATGACGACAACCAGCCGGCTTCCACTCATCAAAGCGATCACGAGCTATTCATCAGAGGGAATCGGTAATTTCTTCGCCTACCAATTTTCACTTTTCTTCTTATTGTAGTGGATTTCACCAGCTCAAAATTTGAAGAATTTATATGGGTTGGCTGATACTTTTTCGAAATCTAGAATGCAAATGTGCTTGTTGAGCCTATTTGATAGAGCGAAGTCTTTAATTTTCCTTTTTAATTATCCTTTATCAATCCAGAGCAAACCTCCACCAATATTGCCTATTTGATTGTTATAAGTTTCACGGTTTTTTATTTCTGTTCGTTGTCTTTTTTCTCCATGCTTCATTTTTCACTAAAAGTAAATTTTTTTGGTTATATTTCTAACAAATTTTATTTTACCCATTTGTAACAGGATAATATGGACGATTGGTTCGCGTGTGTACAAGAGATTCACCTTGCCCCACTCAGTCATAATGGTACTTTAACTTTTATGGTGTAGGCAGCGCAGTTAATCCTATTATATTTGTTTTTCTCTCATGCGAAAACTTTATAATAGATAGCTGTAATACAATGATGATCTTGCTTCCTTTATAGATTCTTATACTTCTCTCGATTACTAGTTGGTAGCGGGAAGTTGAAAATATCATCAACATTACAAATATTGCTTTAACGCTGGTTGGTTTCTTTTCTTTCTTGTCATTTTTAGCTTGTTGACCTTTTTGTTCAAATTGGAGAGATTACTGATACCGGTCAATAATATCCCATCTGTTAATGTTTATTTACTTTGGAAATTGCTAACAATGCACTTTTGCATGGAATCGATATTTTTGGTTATTGTTTTTGGACTTAGTTCATGATTGCATTGTCGAAGGATTTATATACTTAAGTTATACCCTCTCTAACAACTTAAGCTTTTAGGGTACGTGATTGTTAACATGGTATCAGAGCCAAAGGTCTCGAGTTTAAACCTCACCGTCACCCTAATTAAAAAATTGAAAAACACGTGTTGGACCAGAAGAAGGCCACAAGTGAGGGGGCTTGTTGAAGGATTTATATATTTAAATTACACCCTCTCTAACAGCTTAAACTTTTGGAGTAGATGGTTGTTAACATGCATAAATGATTGATTCTTCTGAAGACTTTATCAAGAAAAAAAAAAGACATTTTGAGTCATTTAGTGTAGCTACCAAATGGAAGCATACTACCTAAGTGAGGGATATTTGGGCTATGTTCTTGGTTGCTTTTGGTGTGGCTTGGGTGTTTCCTCAGTCAACAGTTCATTTTGTAGAGGCTTGGAAAGGGTGTATAGTGGAGATCCAAGTTAGAGATGCTTGGAGGGCCACCCCCCTTTGTATTTGGTGGGGCTTGTAGCTTGAGAGAAATAGGAGATCCTTTGAAGGGGCGGAGTCTCCTATTTGGTATCTCAAATATAATATACTGTCTTCTTTGTTCTTTTGGGTTAATGGGCGAAATTGTATATCTATAGATAGTCTTTTGGATTTTGTGGATAGCTTAAAGATGTAGTTTCCTTGTTTAGGCCGCTTGTTGTTTTTTGGGAGCGCTCCCCTTTTGAGTGCCTTTAATGAATTTTTACTTATAAAAAAAAAAAAAAGAAAAAAAATGACCCCAAGTTGTTGACTGAAGGTGCAAAGAAGTTCTCCATGTAAGTGGCTGAGTTTTTCACCTGATTGAAAATTCATTCACCAAGAAGAAAATGGAGGCAAATCCTTTAGTTCTGTATGGCAGTACCTGTATGTCTTAAAATTTTTCTACCAACCATTTATTTTATTTTATTTTTTGTTTTTATAATGAAAGTTTAGCATGCGTCTATATATTACTCCATTTATCCCTTTTCTCCTTCTTGTATTGCTTCACTGAATTGTTTCATCTTTATTAGATCCGAGCCTCTGCCTTTTGATATACAAAAACCAGTCTTTCTTGGTTATCTTCCTCAACACGTCCATCTAATAAATTACCTACTGTTTGTAAGTTACTCCAGTTTACTGACTTGGAACCATTTAAAACTATTTAAATTCAAATTCTAGGTGTGTTGGTGTCGTCTGGGTGATATGTCTGAAGCTCTTCTCTGTGTCTTGCAAACTGATAGTTTGACTCTTTATAACACGTCAGGTGAGTACACCAAAACATATTTAATGATAGTGTATTGTTTGTTATTCTCTCTCTTTATCCTCTTTTATAAATTTATTCTATTCTATTTTTTGGCGTTTGATATGATGATAGTTCGTTGTCCTATTTTTTTGCTTCTTTTTTCCCCAAGTTTGTGTGGTTATTTAAACTTAGTGTTGGCAAGTTTCGTAGCAAATGTCAGAGTATGTAATTTTTATTTTATTTTCAAAAGTTGGTTTAATTGGTTAGGGTTAAATTTACCTTGGATCCATGGACTATGAACAGAAAGCAATTGAAGATCAAAAGGGTAAAAGGGTAAATTTACCTATTGAATTACTCACTCACTAATTAGGGTTCATAATCATGCATTCTTATCACTACTCATGTCAGGACACAATACATAAATGTTTTTGATTCATTAAAAAATATTCTGAATGCATGAAATCGTTTTCAGATTGAATATATTTGAACATAAATTTTATGAAAATATATTGGTTTGATCAATTGAAATTTACAATTTTTTTTTGAAATCCAGTATGGTTTGTTTGAAAGCTCAATTGATTTACAGATGGATATCGATTAGTTGGCACAAATTTTCTCTCAAATTAAAATTCTAAAAGGTCAATATGGGGTTTTAGTTAGTTTAGGGTATTGTCTTTATACATTATTGAGAAATACATGCACTTCTAGGGAGAATTTAAATAGAGAGCATATAGGCACATAGAGTGCATATATATATATATATATATATTATCATCTAGCATCTTGCATTGGATGATAAGTTATTATTTAAAATGTTGATCATCAACTCGTGAAGCAAACAAATAGGGATGACAATTTGTTTTTTCGTGTCATGTTCATGTGGTGTCATGACATGGGTATCTTGCTATATGGGTTGATAGGAACATGACATGATTATTATTCGTATGAAGTAACCTTGACATGAACACAATATGATTATTAAATAACACAAACGATCTGCATAACCTGTTTAATCAATGGGCCAAGATCTAACATGACACAACAAGACAAGTTTAATTAAAATTTCATACTATTAGGTCGAACGAACGAATCTAATCAGGTTATAAATGTGTTAATGGGTCAGACACGAATACTACTTGTTTAATTAGCGTCAATTCGAATTGACACGATTAAGCCAAACCCAAACCCACCTATACTATGTCGTGTTTGATTGTTAGCATGTTGTGTTATATATTGCCACCCCTACAACCAAACAACAATTGGACGTCACTAGTCATGGAGATCAATGTGTTGAACGAGAAGCGGTTGCTATCTATTGACTAACAAAGACAAAGAGCTCGAGTGGTGATTATAGTGTAAAGTCTGAGTCATGAGTTACCTAAGGGACTCTAGGGTTTTAGAATCTGGTTAACCTAGTTTTTTATTTTTATTTTTTTTTATTTTGGATGTTGAATCTGGTTAACTTAGTTGCAAACTTCTTTCTCATAATGAATTTTTTTTATTTTGATAAGTAAATTGTATTAAAAGCGTTCAAAAAGGGGAACGCGACCCAAACTATACAAAGACAAAACGGAGCCTATGAATTCAAAGAGCTCATAAAATCAACAATCTCCTCAAGAGAGGAGTAGTCTCTCCCCTGACCCCAACAAAACAAATTACAAATGATGGAAAATTTTAACACCCCAATGGAGGATTCCTTTCCCTCAAAAGATCTTCCATTACGCTCTCTCCAAAGGCTCCACCAAATACAAAAAGGGATCACCCTCCAAAAATCTCTGACCTGAGCCCCCATCCATTGGCCCCTCCACATATCTAACAACTCCCAAGATGACCGAGGCATGACCCAATGAATACCAAACAGGCCAAACATCAAACTCCAACAATCATGAGCCACAGGACAGTGCAACAAAAGATGATCCACCGACTCCCCATTAATCTTGCAAAGACAACACCTATTAACAATGATATGCCTTCGCTTCCTCAAGTTGTCCAAAGTCAAAATCTTACTCCAAGCTGCAGTCCACACAAAAAAGGCCACCCTAAGAGGCGCCTTAGACCTCCACACCGTCTTCCATGGGAATGAGGTACCATGAAAACCAGAAAGGCACACAAAAAAGGACCGGACCTGGAACATCCCCTGAGAAGAAGTTACCCAAATCAAGGAATCTGCCCCAGACCCCTCCACCTCCTGTCCGTAAAGAAGAGCCAAAAACCCAGTGACATCATCCAGCTCCCAATCCTGAAAAGCTCGCCGGAAACGCACATCCCAAGACAACCTTTCACTATCAAGGCGATAGTAGTCAGCAATTATTGCATGTTTGTCAACAGCAATCCTAAAAAGCCTGGGAACAATAGGGCCAAAGGCCTATCATCACACCATGGATCCTCCCAAAACCGGACAGTTCTTCCATCCCGAACTCTGAATCTAATATGTTTGGAAAAGGCATCCCACCCCTTACCAATGGCCCTCCACACCCCTACTCCGCTAACAGACCTGACTGGTCTAACTGACCACCCTCCTCTCTCCTCCCCAAAGCGACATGAGATAACCCTTCTCCATAGTCTATGTCTTTCCTTACCAAATCTCCAAAGCCACTTACCAAGAAGAGCACAATTGAAAAGGGCCAATCTCCTAATTCCAAGCCCTCCCAACCGAATAGGCCTGCAAACCTGTTCCCATTTGACAAGATGATACTTGAACTCTTCTCCGCGACCCCCCCAAAGGAAATTACGTTGGAGCATTTCTAGTCTTCCAACAATAGAGGCTGGAATACGAAAAAGCGAAAGAAAGTACGTTGGAAGGCTTGACAAAGTGCTCTTCACTAACGTAACTTTACCGCCCTTTGACATATATTGTTTTTTCCAACCCGCTAATCTTCTCTTGACCCGCTCAATCACCGGGTTCCAACTTCCCACCCTCCTAGCCGAGTCCCCCAGCGGCAAACCCAAGTACGAGATGGGAAAGCATTGCGTCCCACATCCTAGAACAGCAGCTAGAGTGCCACCTCCTGAACGTCCCCCACAGGAACAATCACACTCTTTCCCACGTTAACTTTTAAACCAGAAACAGCCTGGAAACAAACCAAAACACATCTCAGATACCTCAACTGGGAAATATCAGCCTCACAAAAAACAATAGTGTCATCCGCAAAAAGTAAATGAGAGATCTCCAACTGCTGAACTGATTCAGGGCCAATCTTGAAACCCCTAAGAAAACCCAAATCCACCGCCCTTCTCATCAGCCTGCTAAGGGCCTCCATAACAATAATAAAAAGAAAAGGGGAGAGAGGATCCCCCTATCTCAACCCACGAGAATTGCCAAAGAACCCCGAAGGAGAGCCATTCACCCACCAACACCGAAAACCTGATAGTGGAAACACAAGAAACAATCCACTTCCTCCATCTCTCACCAAAACCCATCCTCTCCAACAGATAGAACAGGAAATTCCAGCAAACATGATCATAGGCTTTCTCAATATCCAGCTTGCACAGAACACCAGGAGTCCCACTATGAAGTCTAGAATCCACACATTCGCTAGCAATAAAAGCGGAATCCAGAATCTGTCTACCCCCAACGAAAGCATTCTGAGACTCAGAGATAACTCCATACAGGACCTCCCTCAATCTAAAGGCAAGGACTTTTGCAATGATCTTGTAAATGCACCCGATCAGACTAATGGGTCTAAAATCCTTGATATTAGAAGCACCACCCTTTTTAGGAATAAGGGCAATAAAAGATGCGTTAAGCGATTTCTCAAATCGCCCCGTGGAATGGAACTCATGAAAAGTGCCCATAATCTCGTACCGGACCACCTCCCAGCTTTCCAACAAAAATCTTATCGTGAAACCATCAGGACCTGGAGCCTAATCACCATTGCAACTCTTTAAAGCCTTCAGCACTTCCTCCTCCGAAAAAGGATCTTCCAGCCCATCTCTCTCCAAGGCAGAAATAGAATCGAAGTGAAGACCATCAAGACGAGGTCTCCAACGAAGAGGCTCAGAATAAAGTCCTTGATAGAAAGAGACAATAGCACTTCGCACCTCCTCCTCCGAAGACAAAACTGCACCATCCACACACATCCGCCCAATATGATTACTCCTCCTATTAGCATTAGCAGTTCTATGAAAAAACTTCGTATTACGATCCCCCTCTTTGAGCCATAATGCCCGAGATTTCTGACGCCACGAGATTTCCTCCAAAAGAGCAATCTCCACACATTCTGCCTGGCAAGCTGCTCTTCTACTGCGTTGAGATTCCGAAATAGCACCCTCCCCTTCCAATCGATCAATCTCCGCAATATCAGCCAAAGCCCTATTCTTCCTCCACACCAAGCTCCCAAACACCTCCTTATTCCACCTTTTAAGATTTGTTTTCAAGATTCGAAGCTTTCCGGCAAGAATATGGCTCGATGTACCCACCACCAGATTCTCCTCCCACCAAGAATGGACAAATTCCTGGAAATTATCCGCACGAAGCCACATGTTCTCAAATCTGAAAGGAGTACTGCGAGATCTCAAACCTCCACAGTCCAAAACCAAGGGAATGTGATCCGACGTCACCCTAGCCAAAACTGCCTGAACAACATCCGGGAATTTCTCCTCCCATTCACCTGAAATAAAAAATCTATCAATGCGAGAGAAAGTTGGAACTTCCCTTCCACTGGACCAAGTAAAGGAAGCTCCCTCAAGAGGGAGATCAATAAGCTGGTGGCCATCAATAAAATCAGAAAAGTGCATCATAGCCTGGGTCCACGGGCCAACTGTAGACCTCTCCGCCGGGGATCTAACCACATTAAAGTCTCCTGCCATACACCAAGGAAGAGACCACCTCCCCTTCACCCCACTCAACTCCTCCCACAAACCATCCCTCTCAACATCATCAACCGGCCCATACACCCCAGAAAAACCCCAAGTGAAGCAATCCTCCTCCATCACAAAAGCACAAGATAAAGAAAATCTCCCTCTGCAAACATCAACTTTCTCATAATGAATTTGATCTGTCTGGTAGGACATTGTGGACCCCAGGGCCGCCCTGACCCAAGGCGACCAAGGCAGTCACCTAGGGCCTCAGAATTTAAGGGGCCTCAAAATTTATAGGCCCATGAATGATGGGCCACCAAAAAAAAAAATTTTTTTTTGTAATAAAATGCAATCATTTAAAGGGCCTCAAAATTTATAAGCCCATGAAAGATGGGCCACCAAAAAAAAAATTGTTACCCAATGCAGTAAATTTAAAGGGCCTCAAAAAAAAAAAAAAAAAAAAAAAAAAGGGGGGTGTGGCTATTCAACAAGTTCTGGTTCACATTAGATCAAAATGTGAAGGTTTGTGACTTTGAAGATGGGGCGGCGCCCCCAGGAATTGATGGAGCAGGGGAGATTCGCGTAGTAAGAGAGAGAGCAAAGCGTGGTTGATTGAAATATAGGATTTTAATTTGTGTATAAATTTGATGGATTGCAGTTAATATTAGTTTAGTTTAAATTGTTTAATGGTTCAAAATTTATATCAATATATTTAATTTTTTAAATCATGATAGATATTGAAATAATTATGATGGTCCACTGAAGTTGTATAGCTATGGGATGGGAATGTAAAAAAAATGTTACACTCAGATTAATTAATTTTGAAGAACTTTGGCAGACAACGTTCTAAACAATAAAATAAAAAAGGAATGGAAAGAGAATGGTGCCACCTCAAATTATTATTTCATAAATTAGAATGCATAAAGTTGGAAGTTCTTATGGAGTTATTGTTTGACAAATGAATTTGTTGTAATACAGGAGTTCCAATCCAACAATCCTTCACTTAAAGACATATCATTTAGACATCTCATAAGATACATATATATATATATATATATATATATATATATTGTAAATCATATTATTGCATATTGAGCCATTGAGTAATATATATTTTCTTTCGGCAAAGCATTTTTTTTTTTTTTTTAAGTTTAGTTCTATGTTGATTGTGTTTACTGTTATTTAGATTTCTAAGATTTGAATATTTTTGACAGTTATGTCTACAAGAAAATTTGAATCTGGGTATGAAAAAAAAAAAAAAAAAAGAAAAGAAGAAGAAGAAGAATTGATAATTTTGCTGCTCAAAATGCAAGACGATCACATTTACTTTAATGAAAATTTCACACTTTTATAATTTTATTTTATTTTATTTATTTATTTTTTTTGCGTGTGAAACTTATGTATAAAGGGCCTCACTTTTAAAGTTTGCCTAGGGCCTCTCAAGATTTTTTCAATCTCAGGACCGGCCCTAATTTTCCCAGTTGGGTTTTTTCATGAATAATCATGCGTTTATGCGTCATTGCTTGATCAATTATTTTTGCTTGTTACACTTTAACTGATTTATATTGTTGTGTTTTAAATATGATTGTTAGGTTTAAATATTATTTTTTGTTAGTTAAAATTGGGCAAGATGATCTATACACATTTCCTATGGATCTATTTTGGGGCATTGTGTACTCTGACTATGGACATGCGTATGAAATATGTGTCCGACCACAGCTACCCAAATCGTGCACTTGGATCCTCCAGTTATGATGATGAAAGAAGAAAAAAATACTCGAATTTGATAGCCAGGAAAAGATCCCTACTTACGAGATAGGTGGAATCTCTCTTTTTGTAACCATATTCCATTTAGTTTCATTTAATTTAAATTATTATTGAGTATTTAGAACAATAATAGCCTGATACATTATATTTTTAAGTAGCACATCATGTTTTGTCCACATACCCATATTCAAGTTTTGGACACATTTCAAGCTGAGTTCCTGTATCCTAAATTTTGTGACTGATACTCAGACACATACCTACACCAGATACAAGTACTCATGTTCATGTAACATAGGCTTCAATCTCATATTTTTCTTTTCAACTAGAATGGGCTACCTTCAATTTAAATTCTGTCGTGTATATTATTATCATGTCTGCATCAGGAAAAGGAGGAACCTGCTGGTGAATGAGTCCCCTCCTTCGTGTGTCTAATATACCATGGGTCATCCAGATTGAATGATAATTTTTTAGAATTGAGTCAGGATATTTGCACCGTGGAGATAGTTGTGAAGAAAAAAATGTATATTCAACATGAACACGGTCAGGCTCTTTTTTCGTTCAGTTGATTACTACCTGTAATATTTTCTAATATATTTTTGGATGCTAAAATGGCAAGAGCATATACAATACCTGAACTTGTAGGACAGATTAGTCAGAATTCAAGATGCTTGACATTGTGAATGCCTTTGTATTTGGTTACTGATTTTACCAAAATGAGACTTGGATGTGTTCCTCTGCAGGTGAAGTAGAATCAGTTCCTCTTTATCGCACCATCACATCTATATGGTCTCTTCCCTTTGGTTTACTCCTCCAACAATCAACTGAAGGGAACTCATCAGCACATGTTCCTTTTTCATCATTAAGCCCTTTTCTAAGTGCACGTGACATATCCCATCCAAGAAGAGAAATTGGATACAGTCCTCAACATAATTTCACTTCGGCAAATTCATTTGATCGTATTATAAAAGGAAATGGAGCTTTACTATCTTCACATCTGATTTTGAAAGATCCTGTAGAGGAACCCCAGGTATGCATCCTTTCGAGCGTTCTTCTAGAAATGCTCTTAATTATGAAAAAAAATTATTTGCACACTAATTAGCATGAATGCTTGCTGAAGGTCTTGTGTAAAATATGTGTTTGACACCCACACTTCATGGATATTCCTGAGCACATGTTCAATTCCTCGTTTATATGCCATCATTAAAAAATAAATTTGATTATTTCTAGCATTTGGCATCCATACCTTGAATTCTTCCTCCCACGACTTATATACCACAAACGCATTTTAATAGGAGTCATTTGCTCATGTAAGACAATCCTGGAAATAAGGTAGACACCCTCAAATATGGTTAATACTTTTTCTTTTTTTATGGATATTTGATATGCTCACATGATACTTGTGGCACTATAGGTTGAAACATAAACAAACATGTTTTTAGTATAAAACAAGAATATGATATGTGGACAAAATATAGTAAGATTAATGGTGGTTATATATACTTATATCTATGTTTATTTATAAGGGAGTCATTATTTGGTGCAATGGTAAATCTTGGTATATAGAATCCTTTTCCTTTATGATATTTGTCTAGTTTCATCTTCCACGTAATGCACTTCTTATAAAATTTAGATTATTAATCAGGATTATATGTGTCTTACATAATAGATATTTCGGTAAGATTGCCTTACACAATAAATGTATAAATATACTTTTATGTTTCCGTGTCCTTAATGTGTCCATACCGTAGTCTTTTTTTTTTTAAGAATTTGTCATGTCGTTCTCTGTGTGTGGTATTGCGTTTGTGCACCTTGTTCGTGTTTGTGCAACTTACATTGCACTTTTTTACTTGACTTTGTTTCATTTTATGTCTGCTTATATTTGAATGTTTGTCAGTTTTCTGTTTAGGATTATCTGTGTTCATGGTCTAGTTTAATTGAAATGATTTTTTTTTTTTTTTTTTTTTTTCAATGACGTTCTTAGTGTACTTATATTGAAGAAAGGGGGAAATTAAACATAATGAAGGAATTCGATGAAAGAACGATATGGACTAGTGATCATATTCCATTAATGGCATCATATAGCAAAGGTTTATTCTTTTACTTCCTTCTTATTTAATTTGTTATTCCTTTGTGTTAAAAACAAAAAAATATTTTCTTTTCATATTGATTATATATGATTTTGTTTGCAGGAAAGATGCAGCACTCTGTGTGGGTTGTGGAAGTCGTTAATTCAAACGCTGAAGTGGTAAATTCTAAATTATCTGATGTAGCTCCTGCTGGAGTTTTACAAAAGCAGTTCTCCTTCCGAAGGATATGGCAGGGGAAGGGCGCACAGACGGCAGCTAGCAAGGTGCGGTAGTATTGGTTCCTCTGTTGTTTATTGGATGAATCTTTGGGCATGAATGTTTTAGTTTATGTGTCATTGATTTAAAATTTAATATTACCATTTAAAATTTTGGTGCTTTTATCCTAGCATCTTTTTTTCTTTTTAGGAGTCACGCTTAGATGAAGATGCGATTTTTGGTTATTATAAAAATTAGCTTTTCTTGTTGAAACCTCAACATTGAAGAAACCTCAACATGTTCAATTTAACTCAACACAGCTTTAAATCCTGGTTGTTGAGATCAAAATTCAGTAAGCATGTAGCAAGAAACCTCAACATTGAAGAATCCTCAACATGTTCAATTTAACTCAACACAGCTTTAAATCCTGGTTGTTGAGACCAAATTTCAGTAACATGGAGCTTATCTCAACTGAATAAAGCTTTGTTGAGATTTACGGGGTTCTTGAGTTGAGTTGGGCTGCAAAACTGCTGCAAAGTCAAGATGGCCAAAAGGAAGTCAATATGGCTGTAGATAGAAGTGAAAGTTGAAAGAGGTTTAGTGTAGCTAAACCTATGTGAAAGTTGGGCTGATTAAAGGACTTTTAGGTTGAATTTAATTGGGTATTAAATTTAATAATTTTAACTGTAGGGCCTATGTGAAAGATCTCTAGGTAATTGTCAAGTGGTTTAATTTATTTTTCAAGTTGTGTCAATTGCGTTGTTGGTACACCGTACCACACATTTGTTGTGACAACCTTCGGGTTTGCCTAGTAGGTAGACATGGTGGATATCATAGATTGTAGTTTATAATGAAATCAGGCCATTCGTCATTTGGGCCTATAATAAGATATGTCAATGGGATGCAAGATTAATCAAGTAAGTTGCCTGGAAGGTAATAGGGTAGGTATGCAAAATAAGTATCCATGACTTTTGGGAGGGTACCTCATGCCGTACTTGCCCCGAAACCCTTAACTGGTTGCCTTATTGTGTCCCATCCCTGATTATGAACACTCTTCCTTTCTTGCCAGTACCTTTTTATGCTCCTTGTCTTTCCCGATTTGTCAAATCCCTATATTTAAAAGAAATCCCTCTTTTAACTCCAACAGAAGTCCAAACAAACGATATGTTATTTAGTGAAATCCAAGAGACATTTGAGTTGCACTAGATTACTTGATTAATTTGACAAATGGAAACATGAAAGATGGAAGAATACGCTATGTTGTGATGCACAACAAACTAGAGGGGTGGATTGGAGGTGTGCACGTGCAGGGGATAGGGGTTTGAAGATTACGGATAAGGTGTTGGAAGGGGCTGGGCCCGGGGGACGTGGGCCGCTTAATGGGCCGCGCAACAGGTCGGCTGGTCCTTATGTTCAGATGCACAAGTCTAATGATGGGTTTGGGCTTAATAATTTGGTCCAGCAGAAGAGAGATAGGGCTGTGTATTGGGGCCGTAATAAAAGTCTGTCCATTAGAGTCTTGGGTTTGGGCTCGAAGGAAGAGGAGAGGAGATCCAGAGGGGTTGAGTTGGGCCAAGCCCAGGTGGGGATTTCTGCAGTGGTGTTCAGCGAGGTTAACAGACACTGGATGCCATTGAAGAAAGAGAACTGGGTTAGAGCTAGCTCTTGTGGCAGTTGCAAAGGGAAAAGGTTTCGCCATGGGAGTTGCTGTGTGCAGAAGGCGTCGGATTTTCGGTTTGTGCCATTAACTTCTTTTGAGGATGGCGAGCCCATAGTTAGAGATGGGAAGCGTTGGTCACGAAAGGAGAAACAGAAATGGGTTTGCCCAAAGGAAAGCCAACCTGGTATGTCTTTTTTCAACTCTCAGAGCTTTTTGTCTGCTCCTTCTTCTTCTTCTACTCCTTGTGGGGTGTTAAGAAGCGAATTGGGGGCGGAGGTTGATCGGAAGTCGGAGAGAAATGGGGTGTTGTCGACTGTGGTGGAAGTAGATTCGGAGGGGATGAGTTGGATGCAGAGATAGAGGATGAGGTGGGACAGTTGAGGAATCATACACTGGATATTATGCTGAGTTGTTCTCCCAAGTTATTAAGGGAGAATGTATCAGTGATGGCAGCGCCGGTAGGTCTGGATTGAGTTACGGTGTGTGTGGGATGTGACTCAAAATTTCAGTTGAGTCAGGAGGCTGCGTCAATGTTGGTGAAGGAATTGAGAATGTATAATGGGTTGAAGGGATTGAACCGTGTGCTGGATTTTGGCACAGATACAGTAGGGGAGGACTCCTTTGGCTTTCAATAGGTCTGATGCTTCGATTGACGACGGTGGTGACAGATTGGGGCATAGTTGTCAAAGGCGCCGAAGGCCCGCGCCTGAGGCGCAAGGCGCCTCCAGGCGCCATCTCATCGCCTGTATTGACTTAAGAAGGATGGTTGAAAGAAGGCGTACGCCTTTTGTACACAGGCGCGCTAAAGGCGCGCCTGCTTGAAAATGTATTTTTAAATGGTTTTGTTTGTTTATTGTTTATGTATTGTTTATATCATTATCATATTATTTTATTAGTTACTAGTTAAAAGAAAAGCTACAAGTTGCAACATAAAAAAAAAAAAAAAAAAAAAAAGAGAAGCAAAAAGGAAAAGAAAGAAGACAGACTGACAGAGGTAGCCAGACGAGTGACGACTTGGACTCCAACTCTCGGTCTCGGATCTGCATCATCTGCCGGATCTAAGGTTAGTTCTTCTTCTCTTCTTCTTTTCTTCTTCTCTCCTCTTAGACTCCTCTTCTCGGATCTGCCGGATCGGTGACCGGTCTCAGATTTTTTTTTCTTTTCTTCTTCTTCTTCTTCTTCTTTTCTTTTCTTCTTCTTTTCTTCTCTCGGCTCTCTCGGCCGAGTCTTTGGCAGATTTATTTTTATTTTTATTTTTCTTCTTTTTTTATTTTTTATTTTATTTTATTTTTTTTTCTTTTCTTCTCTGGAGTCTGGAGTCTGGACTCACTGTGATGACTGTTGATCACTATTTTTCCATTCTAAGTTTCTAACTGTCTAACATGTTAATATGTTGTTCACTTCATATTGTATATTTGTCGGATGGACCACCATCATATTGTCTATGATCAAGTTTTCACCAAGTAATTACTTGTCTTACAACACAAGTGTTGTTATTACGTGTATAAAAAATAAAAAAAATAAAAAGAAATCCAATTTTGTAGTTTTCTTTTCTTTATTATTTGCCATCCATAATTTTCTAAGTACTGATGGTATTCTTTTGGTTTTGAAACATACTAAATGAGTCATGCTTGGATGGTTCTTTCTTTCCATTTTGTTTCAATCAATGTTGATGGATTTTGGTGAGAATTAAGCTTATGAAACATGGAGAATTCTTAACAAACTTCGAACAAAAATAAATTGGCTGATCTTGGGCTCCCGATCATAAGACACCCATCTCACGAACCCTACTGCAAATTATCATTGAATTTTTTGTATTTGAGAGTTTTGTATGTTTAATTTAGACCCATAATTGATCCTTTGATTCGGAAATCAGCCACCAATAATCTTTTGAATTGAAGATTAACCAAAAAAAATGAGATTGATTTGATTTGAAAATATATCACATCCTTGGGTGGGTTTCGTTTGTTTTTTTTTTCAACATGCGCCTTGCTTCAGTCGGGTGCGCGCCTCGCCTTGCGCCTCAGGCTCCCGGAGTCATTTGCGCTTTTGTGCGCCTTGAGCCTTTAACAACTATGGATTGGGGGGAGGGGGTAGTGATAGGAATGCTATGGAGATGGTTCCATGGGAAGGATTCTACCTGTTTAGAGATGCAACCGTTATATGTTTTAAGGCCGGACGGGGGGAGGGAGGTCTCTGCAGCAGGTTGTGAAGACAGAGGGGTGGAGTGGGTGAAGGATAACATTGATAATGTGAGCAGTATTTTGGGACTATCTTTTCAGCCAGATGAGGAGCAAGCTCGTTTGGTGATGCATTCAATTGTGGAGGGAAAGAATGGGGATGATGTTGGCAGTGTGACCAGAACAGGTAGAAAGAAGAAGCGGTTATACCCGTGGAGAGGGGGAAGTGCTGAAGGCATTGAGAAATTGTAATGGGGATAAAGCTCCGGGTCCGGAAGGTTTCACTATGAGGTTTCTTTTGGAGAGGATGTGGTCAGGGGTGAGGTGATGGGAACCTTTCATGCTTTTCATACTTGGGGGAGATTTGAGAAATCTTTGAATGCATCTTTTATAGCTCTTATTCCGAAGAACGGCGGACCCGTAGATGTGAAGGACTTTAGACCTATTAGTTTGTTGGGATGCATTTATGAACTAATAGCCAAAGTTATTTCTTTGAGGTTGAGGGTGGTTTTGGATGAGGTTATTTCGGAATCTCAGAATGCTTTCATAGGGGGGCGTTAGATTTTGAATTTTATCCTCATTGCAAGGGAGTGTGTGGATGATAGATTGAGGAGTGGGGTTCAGGGGTCTTGTGTAAGTTGGATGTGGGGAAAGCTTATGATTATGTTAGTTAGAGTTTTTTGCTATACTTGATGGCAAGGATGGGTTTTGGGGAGAAATGGAGGAATTAGATTGAGTTCTGCATTTCTTTAGCGAGATTCTCGGTGTTGGTGAATGGGGTCCCGACTGGTTTTTTTGGTAGTTCGCGAGGTTTGCGTTTGGGAGATCCATTATCCCCACTGTTGTTCATCATTGTGATGGAGGGGCTTAATAGATTGATAGGGAGGGCTTTGGAGGTGGGCTTCATTAAAGGGTTTTAGGGTGGGAAGGGATGTTATGCTCTTGTCTTTTGCAAGGCTGAGATGTCTCAGATGAGATATTTGAGGTTGGTGTTGATTTGTTTTCGGGCAATCTCGGGTTTGAAAGTGAATGTGGGGAAGAGCGCTTTGATTCCAGTGGGTGAGGTTCCGGAGATTGAGGAATTAGCTTCTGTTCTTGGGTGTGAAGTTAGTTCTTTTTCGATCTCTTACCTGGGTTTGCCTTTGGGGGTTTCCTCGAGGATTGTAGGTGCTTGGGATCCGGTGGTGGAGATGGTGGAGAGGAGGCTTGCGGAGTGGAAGAAGCAATA